TTATACTGTAACAGGTAATGTAGCATAATGTCGGAGATTACCTGCGAACATCAACATTCGGTTTTTATTTCAAATAGTGAATTCGTGACAGGAAATATGGAATGAGAAAATTTTGATACCACAACTGCACAATTCGTGGCTGATACCATTAAATGACAGGTTTGGTCAGTTTTATGACCCATCGGTGCAAAAACAAACAAAATATTACAATTTGTGCAGCATGTGACAATGTGCGTGGTTATTATACATGACACATGAATTGGAAACATACACACCTTTCTTGCTAAAATAAATCACGTGATATGATGCACAACGCTATCTCACACAGTTATTGAAATGCTTGAGATATTGATGTTTCATTACAACACAACAAAACATTTGAAGAAGAGTGCTTGAAAGAGCTCGGATTACTAAATGGTAATACACTGTATTCCATGAAGGAGTTCACAGAAAATTAGCATCGGAAGCGTAGGCCCAAGCCTGAAGGCAGGTGTACTTACCTTCATAATTCATGTTTCATTGGTGTGCAACGCTAAGTAATCCACCGTTCTCTTCAAAACTGATTTCTAAGACACTGATCATTTCCCTGGCAGAACGTGTACTCACCGTATATTCTTCCGTTACATGGAACACTCTGATTCTCTGTACAGCGAACGACGCGCTGAATCCGCTCTGGCTCAGAAAAGCGGCGCAATCACAAGAGCGCCCACACAAACATCACAAGGCCTCGTCGAAACGTCGCCGTGAATGCGTCGCGTTGCATTCCCATTACAACACGCTGCTTGTGTGGTTTTCATCACCCAGACGATAAGGTGCCCGCTAGAGAAAGCCCAAAGCGCTGCAACAGCCACGCGCTGGGTGGTCGCCCCTGAGAGATCGGTCTGGCCACAATGAAAGCGGCCGCTACAATTCAGTCGCGGGAGGGCAACACATCGCGTTGGTCCCAAACGCGCTTCACTGGGAGCCCCTCCTATCCGCGAAAATGGAGCCTCTTTTCCCTCATTCGATCCGGGATATCGAGCACACTTCGAGCGTCAAGCGGCCGTGGAAGCTGCGATTTTTCCGACTGCGCCAGCAGCGCGGCGCGGCCGGCGGAGCCCGAGCTTGCCAACCCTCATGAAGGGACTCCGCCTCGGAGGTCCCGGAGGAAGGGGCTGAACGTCGATGACGAGGGAGCGCTGCTGGATGGAGGCTCCGCAGAGCCGTGGGAGGCCCCGGTCCCAGGCACCTCGGATTCCAAAATCCTGCCCTACTTTCCGCACCTCCTGAAGGCAGAGGTGGCGGGGGAGGTGGCCTCGTCGCCGCGGCCGCAGGGCCGCCGGCGCAACGTGCAGAGCAAGGAGCTGGAGGGACTGAAGCCGACCATGAGGTTCCGCGGCAGTATGCATTTTTCCCACCATATCTACTTGAAGCTGGATGGAAAGTAGCTGTTCAGACAGCGCAATTTGGATCTGTGGCGCGTTGGAGAAAAATGCACAGGAGCAGTGCCGCAGCATGCGACGCTCTATTGGTGGAATGTATTTGCCAAACGGCGGTGCAAGTGCAGGATTTACGAGAAGATTGGCGCATGAATATGACGGATTAATGATGTGCATGGATATGGAACAAATGTATTCGAGCTTCGCGCAGGGGGAACCCTGTTAGCTCACCTCCGATGCGCAGAAGCACCAGATACCTGCAGCACTGCCTTGTTCCTCGTCGAAAAGAAGTTGCAAAGTTTGAAATATTGGATCTCTTTATTTCGCTGCGCACTCGTTGAACGTCCATCGCGGAGCGAAGAAACAAGTGAGCATTCGGGATACGGCAAGGGCATGAGAATTTTATCGCACTGTGCCGTCGTGGAAAATCCTTGCATCCATGGGAGGTTGCGTAAATCAAAATTGCGCATGCATGTAAATACTGATTTGCATAATATTACACACTTTCCGTGTAAGGCGACACAAGTTCTTTTCTCCTTTCGTGCATATGCCATGCATGCCATATACCGCATCCAGAGAAATTGTGCTCGAAATTGATCTGCATAATGCTCCGAAGAGACACACTCTGCGTGGATGAATGTTCGTCCGATGTATCCATGTTACATCTCCATGAGTTGACAGGTTTCCTAAAGGGAATGCTCGACTGCAACTCGCCCAGGTGCTTCTACGGTGGAGTGATGGTGGCCGACATAACGGGGTTCACGAAACTCACGTCCACCCTGTCCTCCACCTGTTCCGGGGTGGATGGCGTCGAGCTACTCACCAAGTGCATGAATAACTTCTTCTCTAGGGTCATAGACCTCGTGTCGAAGTAGGTTGACACATGGAGCTGCTTTGCTCATTTTGGTTTCGGTGGCTTTCATTCCTTCATTTCAGTTCATCTATTGCCTGTTGTTATTTCTGTAAGGATTATGGCTCACTCGCACGCCTGGCCACTGTTGGTTGACGAAACGGTGCTGGCGCAATTCCGCCAAATGATTTGCAGAGGACGCGTAGGAATCGCAATACAGTGGCAAACTGAAGTGATCAAGTAAAGCTACAAAATCATAAGGCAGTGTGATCAAAGCAGAGCTCTTGCCTACTCGGTAATCGGCTCTATTTTTTGTGATTGACGTCTGCATTTGTGTGACTATCTTTGGCGATCACCTACCGGTAGCATTGCTCGGAATCATTCCACAGAATTGTGCATCATGTGCCCATGCGCGTTGCAGTGCGAACAAATTTCGAACTTCGTTGCGAGTGCACAACCGTGGAAGCTTGCACGTGGGGCTGCTGCGAGTAATGTATTGGTGGATAAATTTACAGGCGGGTAGAAGAAAACGCACATGTGCATTGGCGAATGTGAAGGTGCGGGATGTTACATATAGTGACGCCAGTCTGACACGGCGTTTCTTGTGCAGGAACGGCTTTGCAGGAATAAAGCACCGTAATAATGCATAAGTATGATTTTTGCCGTAAATTTCCATGGAGTCGCAATTAGATATGGCTGGGATGGCCATATGTGTTATGTTAAAATAGAACTAAAGTGCAAAGATGTCATTTCAGCTTTGCGAGGGATTAGATTGTATACAGGAGGTCTTCGACGCCTTGCGAATTTCTGAGAATGAAATTTCTCCCAATTTGAAAGTTCTCATAGAGGCGTGCAATTAAGTCCTCAGTACTGTGTCAGATATGAAACGAACATTCTACGCAAGTGAGCAGGTGAAGTGCGTTGCCCTCAGGTACAACGGCGACATAATAAAATTTGCCGGGGACGCCTTGATCGTTGTATTTTACCCAAGCAACGAAGAATACAAGGAGGTGGATGGCGGATTGAAGAAGACTGCCACGAGGTAACTTTGCATTCCGAAGGGCACAGGGGATAATACGCACGACAAGCCATCACTGGTAGAAAACAGCCTGTTTGCGATGCCAGCTGCGATGCCATTTTGACAAAAATTGATGCCGTCGCAGTGAGTGCGATGGCATAAAAAGGGCTGTGATGGCATCAATTTGTGTCAAAATGGCATCGCAGCTGGCATCGCAAACAGGCTGTTTTCTACTGGTGCATGGGGTTTCTGGATGGGCCCGAAAGCAATGTAGAACTCGCGGATGAGTGGTCTGCAGAAATTTGTGCGGCAAGGTGGTGGTACACAAGCTCGGGGAGGACGGTGCGGGTCATTCCAGGCACGCTGGGATTCGCCACAGTGCAAAAATGGCTGTGGTTGGGCAAGTTGGGTCTTGCAAATTATGTTGTAGTGGGAGTATTACTTTGATTGCAAGAAACTTTATGATGAAACACTTTGTTCTAACGTAGAACGGCAGGCATACCTGCTGTCTCATAGACAGCCATGTATCAAATACGTGCTGATACTGTGTTATGTACTTTATTTTTATTGCAGGGATGCACGTTTAGAGCATTCGGTTGAATAGGCCACAGAAATGAAGAGTACACATTGAAACATACTTGCAAAGCTTGCGGAGGTGTAGCGATGCATTTTCCCTTCTTCAGAACATCGTATTTTGTAATTTACCCAAAACTCCAATACATATAGTGATATGCTGTATTCAAATATACTCAAATTTCCTTGCGGTTGATTTCCAGGTGCGTGGCCTGTGCCCAAGACCTGGCTACCAAGTGTGGCAAAGTTATCATGATACCCAACGGCGACGTCATATCGGTGCATGAAATGCAGGGCCTACAGAAATCGCTGCAGCAAAACTCTCGGTCATGGTGGCTTGGAGGGCAAGGGGCTCAAGATGAAGCAGCGGAGGCAGTGAGCACTCAAACGCATGACACTCAAGCTAGGAGGACGTCCATATCACGTCCTCGAGTAAGCGGTCTCGATGTCATCCCATTTGCAATTGCTCTGAATTGTTATCAATTTCTGTATTCGCACGAAATCATCAGTTGTGTTGATCAAGCAAAATCATAAGTATATATAGTGGTAATTGTATCTCGAATAGCCATTGTATATAAGACTTGCTACATTACACTTCAATTTATTGAGAAGTAGTTAACTAGACGGCGCAAATGGGGTGCATATGACCCAAAAACCTCAAATTGTATTCTTTTGTGGCATAATTTCAGACACTTGATTCATGTATTGACGCAATACACGCACGAAGCAATCCACAAGAAGATACGCCATTGAATATACATTCTTCTGTACCGTTTTGCATCAGTTCTGATTTGTACTAGCTGCATATGTACACTCAGGAATGAAGGAAAACGGCAAATGAAGGCAAGGAGATAGCTGAAAATTTACTAGCAAAAGAATCAGTCCAGGAAGTCAGCTACCTGCTCACTAAAATAAGAAACGCTGTTGGGATTGCCGCCTTGCATCCGCATCTTGTGTGCACTTTGGGAACTGACAGCTTCACTTGGCCCGCACTTCTTCAAATCAGGAATCCTCCGGGATCAGGGCGCCCATGCAGCCTTTGACTAAGAAGGTGAAACGACTCTTGAGCAAGAAAGGCAAAGCCCTTGGAAACCCTTCATTTCAGAGCGGTGGCAACAAGCACAGCAACGATTCAAATCCCATGACCGCTGAGGAGGGATGCTCTCCTACCCCTTCGGATAACACCGTGGTGCCCCCGGGAACCCCAAAGAAAATCGAGGAAGGGAACATGCCCGTCAGGAGGGGCTCCGCCTCCTCGTCTGGTGGAGGCCCTGGCGGTGGGATGCAGGCCGCGTCGGCGAGTGAGGTTGCGAGCCGTGAATCTGACCTTGACGACCGCACTCTTTCACTAAAGGTGGGAACGGAGACTGTACGTCATGCGCAATCTAGGTGGAGATTACTGTACGATATTCAACCCTTCCGTATCAGAAAATTCTACAGTTACGCTTTTTGCTCCGCATTTATGTTTTCTTGACGTTATTTTGTTCGCTTTATTCCGCTTTGCAGAAAAAGAGTTGCATCACTATGAATCAGTTTTTCTCCCCAGAATCAGGCCAAGCGTTGCCTTGCTATTTGGAAGGGTTGAATATTTTGCTGGACCCAAACTTTGCTGTACCACACAGGCGACCAGGTGCGCCAACATCGGCCACATTTGCATTTGACTTAGAGACCGCCAGCGGCTTTCATCGCGAAGGCTTTTCGTGGCAGCACTCGCATTTCACGTCAAACTGCGGGATCGGCACCAAATCCTGTCCGACGTCGGGCATCCACACTCAGATGAAACAACGTCCTCTTGCTCAAGAATGCTGCGCCGTGGCGCTGCTCGCATGCTAATCAGGGTGTATTCCCTTGAGCCACTAACACCTGCGCAGGTGATGGTGGGGATCGGTCGGGTGTGCGTATTTCGCGTTGGAGGGGTGGAGGAGACGTGCAGGACGGACGAAGTGGCCGTGCCGCGATGGGAGTTCCTCGTGGGAGACAAGCCTCACGAGCACTATGATGAACTCATGAAATTGAGACCCCCCATGCAGCAAATCGCTTCCATAGAAGACAGCAGCGCGGCTGGAACAGTCGTCGTCAGCAGCGAAACAGCCGAGGTAGACTAGATGCCTAGTAAAATACTCAATACTTAGCAATGCAGACAGGCAAACGTACTCACAAAGGTGATTCAAAAATTGCTTCATTTATTTTGAACCATTGAATGCGTCGAATTCCAGCGGCGCTGAATAGCGGCGCTGTGCCATGGAACAACTGTTGCTCGAGTTGATTCCGATTTTGTGAAGCCTTTCTTCGAAATTCACTCACTGCTATCGCTATCTCCCTTGTGCTGGCGGATCCACCCGTAAGATCTTTTCGCCTCCCCTTGACAAAACTAATGATTACACTAGGAAAAAAAGGGCCAAATAACACGTGTTCAAACGTGTACAAAGTTTACGGGTTTGTGTTATTTTTGTGTTCTTAGTGTGCAGAACGTTGATGAAGTGTGTTTTATGTGTGTTCGCAAAAGTGTTATTTGGCCGTTTTTTTCCTAGTGTTAAAAGCTCGACCAGCCGTCTTCAAACGCGCGCAAAACTGAGCGAACGCTTGCTGGCGAATACCCTCCACCCAGCGCCACCCAACACTGCCGTGGTTCCAGGCGGTTGAAGACAGCTTCGAACTTCTTGAGGTGGGCCAGGGCTTCCAGGTCGGTGCGCTAACGCGCAAGCTGGAGGCATTCCAGGAAACCCACGGTCTGCCTGGCGCATCAACGGGCACCCGCGGCCATGCATCTCAGACGAGGGTCGCGACCATCCTCCGCGCCCACCTGCCGGACTGCGTGAGGGACCGCATAGAGGCCGGGCACGCGGACTTCATAAACGAGGTCAGGAGGCTCACCGTCCTGTTCCTGGGCTTCCCCAGCCTGACGGAGCCCAAGAGGCCCACGCCGGAGCACCCCGAGGTGGCGGGGGGTGTGGGGGACGTCCAGCGGGTGGTGGAGGTGGTGCAGAGGCACATGAGGCAGTACGACGGGTCGTTCCTGCAGTTCAGGTGCGACGAGAAAGGCTTTCTGGCCATATGTGCGTTCGGCCTGCCCGGGCGCACCCACCACCAGAGGCCGGTGAGGGCCGTCAGGGCGGCCCTGAAGATAGTGGACAACTTAAAGGAGGACGGGACGCAGACCTGCGTGGGGATAACGACGGGGGACTTGCTGTGCGCGTGCGTGGGCAGCCCCGCGAGGTCGGAGTACACTGTCTTTGGGGATCCCATCAACATGAGCGCCCGGCTGATGTGCAAGGCGAAGAAGGGGATGGGAAGCGTCCTCTGCGACCAGAAGACGTATGACAGGGCTAAGGCGACTGCCAAGTTCGTGGCGCTCGATCCCATGCAGGTGAAGGGCAGCCCCGGGCCGGTGCTCGTGTACAAGGTGGAGCCAATGGCGCCCAGGGGCACCGCATTCGCAAGGAATTCGTCCGACGAAGTTGAGGTGCCGCTCACCTGCAGAACTGTGGTGCGAAAGCCGCTGGTGGAGCGCGACGACGTCATGGAGATGATGTGGAGCCGAATATCTGGCATGATGAGAGAGCATCAGGGCGGGGTCGTTCTGATCGAGGGAGCCGCAGGCATGGGAAAGACGAAGGTCGTGTCCGAACTGCAGGTCGCCCTGTCGCAGAGGCTTTTGAAAAGTGCGTTTGGAGAGTTCATTCCCTTGTTTGTTGGAGCCGCCGATTCTGCGCACAGTTCCCAGTTTCTCCACTCCTGGAGGCGCATCCTGAAGCAACTGTTTGAGTACGATCGGCTGTACGGGCAGTCCGACAACCGTCATCGAGGGTATCACAGGAGCCCTTCGTGGAACACCCATGGGTGCAAGTATTGGTCAGGAAGCACCCCTTCGCGCTTTGCTCAAACCAAGAGCAGCGCTGACAGCGCTCCTCATGGAGAAGCCACGAAATTGGGCGAGCTTTTGGAACGAAAAATCGACCACTACGACGACATTTGGCGCCCGTTCTTCGCGCAGTCGATGGAAATCAACACCTGTGATATCCCTGCAGGACATCTCACGTCGAATTCAACGACAAAGAGACGGCGTCACCTGGCTGCACTGGAGTCACTGGCCAGGTTACTGATAGCGACTGCCAAGGGCGGCACCAACAGCCACAGTTCTATACCTCCGGTCCTGGATTACTCAAGGAGGTCCTTCTCTTCAGAAAACCTTGCGCATGTTGAAGCGGCATTCAACGCAACAGGGTGTGCTGCGGAAGGAGACAAGGAATGGAAGCATCGCGTTCCCAAGAAAGATATGAGGTTCCGGAAACCCTGGGCTGACTCGGAGAAACCACAGCTCAAGATAGAAATCGATGAGGGCCGGACAGAAGACTCGGACGAGGCGACTGTATCCCCCTCTCTGCATCGTTTCCAGTCTTCTTTCAGCGACTGCGAAGATGCCATATCACCCGTATGCGCTCGCCACATCAAGATGACGAAAGGATTGAAGCGGCAGCGCGTAATCGACATCCTCGTTCAGATGCTGACATGTTTTGTGTCGTGCTACGGAAAGATTGTCGTCGTTGTCGAGGACATTCAGCATTTCGACACCATGAGCTGGAGGTTGCTGAACGAGATTCAAAAATGCGTTTCGAAGGACGTGGTAATTGTTGCAACGTTGCGGCCAAACGATGGCCTTCTTGCCCACCATGCCGCTACTGTGAAGGTGCGGCGCATCTATTGGAAAGGCAAACTGTCGTATCGAGGAGTTTTGATGTTGATGCATTGCGTGAAGTCACGCTTTCCGAGCTACATTTTCTTGAGTTGCTCATTTTCGCAAATGGCGGCTGTCTTTGATACACACGAATGCACTCGAATACATGTATTGTGTAGCCAATCCACAACTAGACGTGCTCGCTAGCTCTATGGTCCGCAAATATACAGCTATATACGTGATTCAAGCCCTGAGACTAAATCAAGTCTCAAGATTCGACAATGGGGAGTAAGCAGATTATTGCGTCGCTAATGCAAGGGAAGTCTGCTGGAGAAATCACAAATCTTGGTATCTCCATTCCATTAGCTATTTGGTTGCGACGAGCTTCCGCATTGCGAGGCGCATCCCATACGTGTACACCAGCAAATCGCAGCTATTCAAGCTGCTCATTCCAAGCGCACGCCCAGCTGTCCTGTTTGAAGGTGCATGGTCGACAGCTATGTAGGATTTGTATCGTCTCAGCTTTGACCTTACAAAAGACCTCCGACAAGAACAGGTGATGCAAACACGGAAGTTTACACATACCGCCAAAACAGCGTGAATGAGAAGCAGCGAAAAGCTTGAAAACTGTTATTGCATCAACGAATTGGACTTGCTTGCGCCAGGAAAGACAATACTGAATGCAAATACAACTGTGCTTGCCTTACATTTTCAAATTTTCATTGAGGGCTAGGACTTTACATACAGGCGTGTGGCCGCTATTTCAGCGTATGCGATAGTAGCCAGTTTGAAACCAACTAGGGGACTTCTGCATCCGCACAACTGTCAAGCGACTGTAAAAAAGATTCCATTGCGCACAACTGCTCGTTGTCGCAAGCACAGCTCCGTGGCAACAAACAGCGTTTCTCTCTCCAAGGGAAGAGAACTGGTCTACGAAAAGGTGCTAAACGAGTACAGAACACTGCGTTTCCAAGATTCAACGCTCTACATTCGGCTGAAACCTTTTGACCTGGAGGAAACGAGGCGATTTATGACGTCGCTCAACAGCATGAGGTCCCTCACCAGCAACCTCGTCAGAGCCGTCTGGGAAAAATCGGGAGGAGTCCCAATGTATATTGAACACCTGTCAGCGTACCTGCTACAGAAGGGTGTAGTAACAGAAAATGCTAAAGATGCGGAGGAGTATCTGGAATCGGAGGACGCGATTGCCGATTTTATCAGAAATACGGTGAGGAGGCACCGCTCGGAAAACACAGGGAAATTTCTGGTCAGCAGCTGCCACGTGCACCAGTACAAAACAGCCTGTTTGCGATGCCAATTGCGACGCTATTTGACACAAATTGATGCGATCACAGCCACTTTTATGCTGTCGCAATCATTGTAACAGCATCACTTTGTGTCAAAATAGCATCGCAGTTGGCATCGCAGACATGCCGTTTTCTACCAGTGGTGTTCAATGCGTAATGTAACACCCAAGGAGATGCTGGAGTAATCAAAAGTGTACATTACTCATAGGCGCGTTTCTGCATTTATTCGTACATGATATAGATTGCAGCTATAGTTGTTTTTGGTCAACGGCGAAAAACTAGAGACGTTGGCGCACACACCCGGATCTGTGTGTGAGCACACGGCGCTACATCCACGAGCCCGTGCAGGCCAAATCTGACGCCAATTGACTCCATCACTGGGCCATTTCAGGTTGGTTGATTCCAACGCGCCTGACGCACAGCCACTCATGCCCGCCAGGTCAGCATCAACCACCTGCTCATGGACCAGATCGACAGCCTGACGTCCGGAAACCACCTGACGCTGAAGGTGGCATCGGTCCTGGGCGTCAACATCACGGCCTCCCTGGTGCACCGCATGTACAGCGTGGTGCACCCTGTGTCCATCCGCACCGTGGAGCGCGACCTGGAGGAGCTGGAGGAGGCGGGCCTGCTCACGCCCAGGCGCCCTGGGTCGGGCGCCTGGAACTTCGTCACAATGGTGGCTAGAGACGCCGTGTATGCCATACTGCCCCACGCCCAGCGCAGGGCGCTGCACGGCAAGCTGGCGGAGGAGTTACAGAAGGGAGGCGAGGGCCAGGCGCCCATGGCGGTGGTGGCCCACCACTGGACGCAGGTCCGCGCCACGACCGACCAGGCTGCTAGTCGGGCTAAACACCTTCAATTGTGCCTTCAATTTTGCCATTGCATGACAAAGCGGGGCCCTTGCACCCCGCAGGGGATGGAGGGCATGCATGTATAAAAACCGTTGACTAATTTTCATCAGGTTTTTGGAACATCTGACAACCGCACTTGTCCGGGTATTAACTGCACAGTCAATAGTAAATGTAGCAGATGTATGGGATTTTTTCTGGACTCTATCGCCATCTGGACGAGCTGAGTTTGTCCAAATTCCAACAGAAGCCGCTGGCTTCATAACCCTTCGCATGAGCAGGCGCGCCGCCTCGTCGAGCGCAGTCCGCGGCTCGCAGGCTTTTCTCTTCTGCGCCTCGTATGCGCGCAAAGGGCTGCCTGGAAATCGCGCTACGCGAGACAAAGGGATGACGCACTCAAAGTCTCGCGCCTCCATCTGCACACCCGCTGCGCTTGAAAACGTGCCAATGCGCGGCCTGTAACAGCTCGGCCTGCCGCAGGCGTGCCTGGGCGTGGAGGCGTCGGAGTGGAAGCGGGCCATGAAGGCCATGCGGTGCTGGGAGCTGGCGGCGGAGCGCGCCATGGGGCGCGACCAGCGCGTCGAGGCGGTGCACATGTTCCAGAAGGCGGAGGACCTGGCCAAGCGGCTGGTGGAGTTCTTCGACTCCATGCACCGGCCGGGCAGCGAGGTCATGAGCGCGCTGACGATGGCCTCCGCGGAGAGCACGCCCGAGACGCCGCGGCCCGGCAAACCCGCGGAGCAACCTCCGAACAGTCCGCGCTGGCGGGATCTTAAGGACCCGCTGTCGCGCTTTGGCCCGGAGTCCGACTCCGTGGGCGCGCAAGCCTGGAACCACCCCTCTCGGCCGTCCTCGTTGCCCGACCTGCCATTCATCCCGTCCGTGCGCCGGGCGCGCTGGGCGCGCAACATGGCGTTCCTGATAATGGAGGCGGCAGAGGATGACGAGTCCCACGCCAGGGCGTCCCAGATGGCGGCCAACGCCGAAGCGCAGATCATGAACGGGCTGGACATCCTGGGCGCGCCCCTCCCCGGGGATTCCGCCCAGGCGCCCGGCCGGCCGGCGGGGGGCCGGCTGTCCGCGGTGGTGGGGTGGGCGGCGCGGGGGCTTGCCTGCTTCTGCGGAAAGGCGCCCACGCCGCGGAGGAGGCGGCCGTCCATGGCTATGGCGTACGGCGAGTGGCAGCAGCCGGATGGGCGAAAGCGCATGAGGTGCCGACATGCATTTTGGTGCTTGTTTTCTTCTGCGTTTTGATTCCAAAACATTACATCACATTTCAGTGTCCAGAAGATGCTTTGGGTTGCGTCTGTCGTGCAGCAAACCCAGACTGGTAGAAAACGACATTATGCTGCGATGCCATTTGACGCTGATTGATGCCATCACAGCTGCTTTTATGCCATCGAAATCGCTGTGATGGCGACATATAGTATCAAAATGACATTGCAGATGGCATCGCAAAAATGGTATTTTCTGATAGTGCTAGCTATGAAGGGAGCATGCTGTGGCCAACTGCGTAAATTATTTTCTGTTAATCAGTTGTGTAGTTTGCTTTAACGAGTAGCCAACAAGAAGAGGGACTGTCTCCATGGAAGGTACCGGCACATATCCGAAGAGGAGATCATGGAGGGCGCCATGCTGGTGGACATGCTGGCCAACATTGTCACGAAAAACGATCTTGACGAGAGCAAGGTCGCCTACGTGAGGCAACTCATTGTATTTTTCTGCAGAGGACCTCCGCCGCCCAGCTCTCCATTCGCACTCATACG